TGCATAAAATTTAAAACAAAAACAGATTCACGGAGGATATAATCAATTTCTGTAACACCTACATAAATTGTTATAAAAATTATTTCTTTTAATTTTTAATAATATTTTATGTTTGATTCGATTGCTTTGGATGTGTTTAATTTACTTAGTGAACTGATATTTTTAGTATGCTTTTACTACCTCAGATATTTGAAAACATATAGGTTAACCTAGAAAGAGTAACAGTCACGGAGGATAGGTTTTAGACTTTTAAAACATTGTAAAAAATAATTAATTGCGGTTAAAAATCTGGAACCTGATATATGTATAGTTATAACTGTCATGTTTAAATAACAATTTAGTAGAGTTTCTTGCAACTGAAACATTACAGGTAAAACATAACGATACAATTTCCAAGAAATTTATTAATTAAATAGAATTTTCTCACTTCATAAACATTTCGGAGAAAAAATAATTGTATTTTAATAAACGCGTGATCCTGTATATTTAGCATACGTCTGCTGTTGGCAACTGTTCCTTTACTGGAGAAAAGTAATTAAAAAACCAACCGAAATAATTTAAAAAACGTTGTAAATGTGCCGTCTACGGATGAGGTGAATTAGGAGTGCCAACGTATAAACCTTAAATTACTAGAAAAATGCAAAAAAGGATGACAGACGAAATATACCCAATTATAGTTATTTATGGTACTATAGTCACTATAGTATAGTGCCATAGTACACTATAGTGTGTTATGTTGAAAATAAGTCACGCGAGAAAGATTTATAAATTCTCAAGTGACTTAGGAAACATAACTCACGGATGGCATCCAATGTTTTATCCAACAAGTGGAAGAAATCGTTTTTTATGAGATAATAATTAATAAGCTTTGTGATCAAATCAAAGCTACTTGGGTCTCAGTACCCTATAAATGTCAGAATGACTTGACAGTGACTTTTTTACATTTTGGTAAAAGTAGGTTGTTTGTTTGGTTGCCACGGGCATGATACATTGTTAGCAAATGTTTAAATAAATGTTGACACTTGTCAGTTTTCCCTGCAGAAAAGGAAAGCTTTTTTGAAAAAAAAAACTTATAGAAAATTGAGGAAACCGATGAAAATTACGTTCCTGAGGATATCCTTACGGAAGCGGAAGAAGCAGCGATGCAGATTTTGACAGAAAAATCCAGAGATGCTTACGACAAGGAGTTCAAAATGTTTGAGTCTTGGATGAATTCACGGAAGATTAAAGGTATCGATGAAAATGTTCTATTGGCTTATTTTTTTTATTCGCAAAAAAAATTAGCCCCATCGTCGCTATGGACCAAATACTCGATGCTTCGCTCGACTATTCACCTTTATGAAAAAATCGACATTTCAAAATATATTTGCCATATATGGCAAACTAACGAGCTTTTTGAAAAGCAAATCACAGAAGTTTTTGAACGAAGCTCCCGAAGACGAGTACCTGTTGATGAAAGTGGCTTTGATAATGGGGATTAGCGGTGCTTGTAGATGCGATGAATTGGTCAATTTGAAAATAGAAAATATTTAAGACAAAGGGAAATATTTTCACGTAGTTTTGCCAGACACTAAAACCAAGAAATTGAGAAGTTTCACCATTCTTGAAGAAGGATTTCCAGTCAACCTTTGAGACCAAAGAATACTAGTTCTGGCCGCTTTTTTGTTTTTTTCAAAAATGGGAGGTGTACCAGCCAGTGTGTGGGAATAAATACGTTGTCGAAGAAACCTTCAAGAATTGCAATGTTTTTGAAATTGGAGGAACCAGCGCTCTACACCGGTCACTGCCTGAGAAGGTCTTCGGCGACTCTTTTGGCCAATGCAGGGGCTAACATGACTACTTTGAAGCGTCACGGAGGATGGACGTCCTCGACAGTAGCAGAAGGATAAATAGAAGAATCGGTGCATAACAAAGACAAATTGCAGAAAAAATACAAGGTTATAATGCGTCGGCGTCTTCCAGCACTATCAGCAGCTGTACCGATATGGGAGCGTCTGGTTCCAATGACCCAACGAATCTTACAATGACTTCAAATTCTAATAAACCGTTAGCGTTTTCCTTTAATTTCAATATCAATGTGAATTCTGCTTGTAATAGTAATAAATAAATAGAATACTACTTTAAATATGAACGTGAGTTATAATTAAAGATGGGATATTTAGGTACTAAAAACTGAAAAATAGGTAACTAAAAAGGTACTAAAAAAAGCATTTTAGGTTAAAAAACAGCATTTTAGGTAAAAAAATATTAAAAGTTCAAGTTTCGTTTATAATTTTGTTTAGCCGCATAGGTACCCAAACACAGAACATACCCACAATAAACTATTTCTATGCAATAAACTGTGTTTCATTGAGTGACACTCACTACACAGAAGTTCTATGACAGAACATAAGCTCACTACAAAGAAGGTAACTGTAAAGAAAGTTACTGTTACAGTCTGTGACCATAAGAAAAAATTCTATACCATTGAGTTGCACGCCCTGGATAAAATATTGGCGGAAAATTTAAAAAGAACACAAAAAAATAAAATAAGTAAAAATACGTAAAATTAGATAACAAATATGTGAAAATAAACTGACAAATTAAAAAATATGTAACAAAAATATAAAAAGGTAGTTTAAAGCAAAAACCTCCAAAAAGGTAAAAAATGTGAAAACAAGTTAAAAAAATAGGTAACAAAAGTATAAAAAAGGTAGTTGAAAGCAAAAACCTCCAAAAAAGTTAAAAAAGGTGAAAACAAGTTAGGGTCATATAAAAGAAAATCTTTTAAAACACATTTTGGCATTATTGGTTTTCAAATAGTTACATCGGTTGGAAAAAGGTAAAATAACTAAAATACCATCCCTAGTTATAATCCATAACTCTTTAATTGACTCTATAATTGACTCTATAATCATCTTTACAAGCAGAAAGCAAAAAATGTAAAGTTGTTTTATTTTTTTTATACAAGTGCCTTCGTATTAACTTTTTGCTATCACAAAACTTTACTAATTAGGGAACTTTATTTTGACAACAAAAAAATTTGATTAACATTTTTTTAAATCTTAAAATCGCTGGTAATTTTTTTTCCACCTGTTGGGTATGGTAAATAAACATAATAATGAGTATTTCCATAATATTTTGTTACATCTGACATGTTTTCGGTATACGATTAACAATGAAATGAAAAGTGGATTGTTCTGTAATCTCTAGCTTAATCGACGAACTCAGCTGTTTCTGAAGATAGTTATTAATCATTTTACATGGGCCAATAACTGCGTAAAGCAACTGGGATTATGGCGATCTCAAAGGGGCCGATAACAATGGGATTCTTTGAAGCAATAAGCCCGTCGAAGTGTATATAGTACTTTGTTGGAATGGGAGATTGTCTTGGCTAAAATAAATGATCACGGATGCGAAACAATTAACTTTTGAACTTACCGAGACAGATAACAAGCGTTTAGACTTTATATATTTTCCACAGCTACTAATTGGGGAGAGAATTTTCCCCTTATTGTTGATTGAGGTTAGAGTATCTTAAATGAAATACCTTCTGGAAAAATCCGTTAATTGAACGAATCAATTATCGAAACGAAAGCAATAAATAAAATAAATTAGTTTACATGTTAAGAAAATCATTATTATCTTTTTTACCCCATTAAAAATCTTTTTTACTCCACCAAAAAAAATTCTAAAATTGACGTTTTTTTTTAAATTATTGTTTTTTTTTCTAGATAAATAAAATTGTGTTTAAAAGTCTAAAACCTATCCTTAGTGACTGTTACTCTTTCTAGGTTAACCTATATGTTTTCAAATATCTGAGGTAGTAAAAGCATACTAAAAATTAAAGCCATCAAATCAAACATAAAATATTATTAAAAATTAAAATAAATAATTTTTATAACCATTTATGTAGGTGTTACAAAAATTGATTCTATCCTCCGTGAATCTGTTTTTCTTTAAATTTTATGCAACGGATGGCGCTTTAATCATTTTATAATTCAAAAGTTTAAGTTCATTAATTTGCTATTTAAAAACCTATCCACCGTGAAGTGTAATATCTCAGTACGTAGTTTTTTTATAAATATTTTATGTATGTAATGTATTTTTTAAAAATAATAAGGTTTTAAAAGATACAATAACTTATTTAAAATAAGTTTATAACTTCCAGAATAACAATATATTGTTTAATTAGGCAGGTAAATTTATAAAACCTTTAAATTTTACTGATGAACTTATGATTTAAGTTTTTGTAAAATAAATGTGCTTCATCAATATTTAATTATAAACAAATTATTTATTAAATAATGTTTATAAATAAAAAAATCTTAATATTTATTATTAATTTTTTATTTAATTATTAATACCGTCTATTGCCAACAAAATTACTATTTATTAAAAAATAAACAACCATTAACAAACCATAAAATAATTTATTATTTACATTACCACGTGGTACTGTACAGTAAAAAATGGCCAATAAAAAGCATTTTCCTTTGAAGTAGTTTTCGCTACTTTAAAGTTTTTTCCACCTTAATTTACTTTACGGTAGTTTTGGTTAATACCATAAACGTTCCAAATACTAAAATAATAACTTTTAAGTTATTAACTTTGTAGTTTTTAACTCATGTTCCAGTTTCGAGATTTTAACTTGCAAAGGGACTACAAAGTAAAAATAATTATAATATAATCTTTAGGTAGCAACCGAAAGTAACTGCTGCAAATTAAATTTACTAGAATGTTTTTTATACTTATAACACCTTTTTTAAAGTTGCAAAGTCTTCTTGGGGGCAACCAAGTTTTACTTAAATGTTTATTACTTGATAGTATCCATTTAAGGAAAGAATTAAGTTTCTGTTACGAAATATTGCTATTTAAAAGTTAGAATTACTTTTAAGTAAAAATTAAAGTAGCTGTTTAGTATACTTAACTAATTTAAAGTTATCACCACTTTGGTAATGGTTTTTGGAACCAAAAATGCGGCTTGGGGAGGGTGTGTGCCACACTGTGTGGTGACTTACCGACTGTGGTGAGCAACATGTTGTCCAGAAGGAGCGCTATGGCGACGATCACCAAAACGAGGCGGCGCGACTCCCGGCATCTCTGCACCCAGGCCCCGAACCTGCTTCCGTACATCCAGTCGTTCATCATTGTCATCCCGTCATCAGTTACTGCCGACGATTTTGCTTACTGAAAAAATACGAATAACAACTCCATTAAAAGTTCTTGCCGCACTTTTTCAAAATAATTACATTATGAAACCGAGGAAAAGTTATACTTGTGATTAAATATTATTTTTCCGATTATTTTTAAAAACGGTATAGCTATAAGTTTTGTAAGCATTTTGTTAATTTCAAAGGTTACAGATTATTTTGTTAACGTTTAACAAAATTACTATCGTTTTAATTTAAATTAATTTTTTTTCAGCTAGAAAATCTTTGTTACACGGTGGTCAAAACTAAAGTATAGGACGAACAAAAATTCCAACCAAAACTGATAGCATAATCTGATTATAGACTCTTTTGGCAACACAAAAATGTATTTATCAAAATCCCAGCTAATCCCTTATTAAAGTTTTGCATATTTCTTAGTATTTTAAAATTATTAATGCCATTTCGATAAAATACTCTAGTACCATTATCAAATGTTTTTAAAAATTTGTCAGATACATGACTGAAATATGGATAAATTACATTATAAATACAAAATAATGTAAAATACAGTTTGCAATATCTTATTTATTGTTTTAAGGTACCTAATACAAAACTAATAAATAACTAAAGATTCTTTGAAGCAAAATCGATTACTGCTTGCCTTAAATTTTCAGTAAAACTTTTTCTTGGGTTTTACATGGAATTGTTTTTAACATGGAAACAGTATTTTTAAATTCTTCAGTCTCTGTACAAACATGCTTCTTAAATCTAGCGATATCCCCTAGAAAGGAAGAGCATATCAAAACTTTAGTTCGTTCGTCCGTCCTCTTCCCTTAATAATTTTTTATGCCCTTTATATCTTGCCATTTTGCAGATAAAGCACATACATTCTTGGCTGCCGCCAAATTCTCTAGCAATTTCTAAATTTTGAAAATTTGGCAATTGTGGCTATGCAAAAATACCGTTTTTACCATATTGAAGTAGATAATTTTGAATCACTTAAGTTAAAGTGTTCGTTTGAAAAAGTCTGCAGTAATTTTTATATTTTCTCAGAAACCCTAAACTCTGAATTTTTCGATTATCAAAAACAATTTTGTCTCCACAGCCAGCACATACCTTCCTTCCATTTTCTTCATGGCTTAACTTGAATTTCGGTTTAATTTTCATTTTAAAATACTATTTTTAACTTAAATAATAAATCTTCGTTTTTTTTGTTATGTTTTGTTTTGAGTGGTAAAAAATAATAGGTGGGGAGTAAATTAATTTAAATGATACAAAGTTTACTATTTTGCTTAATTTTATTAAAATTTACAGGTAGTTTTAGTACAATAATTGCAAAATAATATATAGAAATAGAAAAACAAAAAAGTTTGCAAAACTTTAAAATAGGGTCTATAATCAAAATATGCTATTAGTTTTGGTTGGCATTTTTGTTCGTCCTATAGGTAAGTATATATACTTAAGTTTTGATTACCGTGGTAAATAGCTTACGTTAAGAACAATAACAAAAATATTTTATTGCTATAAAGAGACTTTTTTAATATTTATTATTGTTTTGCAATGGTAACAAAATTTTTGTTACTTTCCTTAAAAAGAGGGGGAAAGGGCCAGCGCTCTCCTTGGTGAACATAACTTTATAATCCACAGTCTGTGTTATAATATTATTGATTCCACTTGTGCGAGTGAAGTGTGGTAAAATATAGCTTGATAAAAATATAAAAAGATCACTAAGAAAATTAAAATTTCGACGTTTTCTAATAGAAATATGGGAGGTCTATTCTATAAACGAAGCAGACTTGTTGTTTAAAAAGTGAGTTTATTTTTTTTTATTTTGTACATCATATAATATGAGTTAATTTTTTTGTTATAATAAATAATTTGTTTTAATGCCTTGCAATTATTTTAAAAAACTACCCAACACCCAACAGTAGGTTGAAAATGTGACCTTTGTTACAATGAAAATAGTTTATTGAATTAACAATTATTTTGTTGTTAAATTTACATACAGTTTAATAATATTTTACAAAAAGTTTTATTTTAAACGAAAAGGGATTTGTAAAATTTACAAAATTTCTATAAATAATACCATTAGGGTTTCATTAATACTACAAAACGTTTTTGTAAACGGTACAGAAATGTTTTTTGACAAATAATAATAACTATATTTATCAATGCGTTTCTGCATCTGGAAGGGTGTTATTTTTATAAACATAACGTAAATTTACTTTATAATTAATGCAAATGCTATTACTGAAAGCAGCGTTTGAAGATAAAATTTTTTTTATAAAAATGATCTTTTTGCCGTATACATTGTTTTAAGTATGAGTATGGTATGTAGAACCTTACGCCTATATTTAAAATATCTTTAAGTAATCGGTTTTTACCAACATCTGGTCTTAAAGACAAAATTATACTGTTTAACAAACACCATTATGTTAAATTATTCAAGAAAATACATAAAAAATAAATTTAAAATCTCCCTTTTTATTTGATGTATGGATTTAGGCGGGTTTGGAAAAATAAATCATGCTATCTTTCCAATTTCAACTTTTTTTTAAATTGTTATAATTTACATTCTACAGTGTGTCTATCATAAAAACGGTAATTATTAAGACATTTTTTATTCCTTTTTTAGGTCCAGACTTATAGAGAATTGCTTGTTTTTAAATAGACACCCAGTAAACAATTACGAGGTGTGTTCAGAAAATATCGGGAATTTTCGTTTTTTGAAACAAATATTTATTTATTCGTCTACATTAATGTTGTCGCCTTCAAAATAGTCCCCATTGGATATTATGCACATGTGCCAGCTCTTCTTCCAATACTCGAAACACTTCTAAAACTCGATCTTTGGGATAGCCTTTAGTTCTTTCAGCAAAACGACTTTAAGGTTCTCTTTATTTTTGGGAATGGGAAAAAGTCAGACAGAGGCATGTCTGGCGAATATGGAGGCTGGGGCATCATTACAGTATTCTTTTTGGCCAAATTTTTTTTTCAAAATTTAAAAATTTTAGAACAAATTTTGCTGCCACGCGTTTCATACCCAAAACATTCGAAAAAATTTCATGGGATGAGCTAATCGATATACCAACATCATCAGCGACTTCTCTGATGGTTTATAACCATTTCTTCCACTTTCTTCATGTTTTTATCGGTTGTTAATGTGCTTGTGCGTTCGGGGCGTTCGTCATCTTCAACGTCTTCACGGCCATCTTGGAAACTCTTATACCACTTGTAAACTCTTGTTTTACTTATAGCAGACTCATTATAGGCCTTTGTTAACATTTCGCAGAATTTATTTAATTTTTTAAGCAAAATTGGAGACAAATTCTTTGATCCATTTCTTTTAACGAACGAAAAATTGCCGAGCTCATAAAACACGTCTAACCTTAGCGGCTGCCACAGACAAAGTTAACAATGAAAACAGCTAAGTTTTTATCATACTTCGGGGGCATGTATACCAACATAATGAAGAAAATTTTATGACAACCGGACCCTCCGAACCCGCGAAATTTAACAATTCCCGTTATTTTCTGAACACACCTCGTACTTTGTTCTTGTAATAAATTTATTAAGAAGGATTTAGCAAAAAGAATCGACATGGCAAACTTAAAAGATTATATTTTCGTTTATACAGTGTGTGTTTTTTTCTTGGGCTATGCCAACTTTTTCTTTTTCAAAGAAACATTTTGGTATATATACATTTTGGTTTATTAAGTATTATTAATTAATTTAATTAATTACTTTTTTATCAAACTTGTATCAGAATCCGCAATTGTTTAATCACGCTTGCAGCTTCGCTCGTGCCTGATTTTAATTTTAATTCGTAACTGAAATGGCTTTTATTAAACTTGATGCATAATATACCAAGTATTATAACATAACATAATATTCCATCCAATCCTATAATTAAGTACATACAGCGTGTTTTATTTTGATTGGCGAGAATTCGGTAAAAAATTGTCATATGTCATTTTCATGACTTTCTATGATGAAGAGTGCTTAAAAAAATTAATTATTTTTCAAAATTTGAGCTTTTTTTCTTAAAATCCTGTATAAAATTACAAAATTATCGTTTAAGGTCAAATTCGGAGGCGCGTTTTTAAATTTAAAAAATGCCTTATAACTTTCAAGGTTTTTGGAGACCTTCTTTAAATCAAGAGGGCCAAAACATAGTGCTGTTTGAGTACTACAAACTTTTGTCTTTAGACAACATTTTTATATATTTGTAATAGATGGCGCTGTAATGAAAAAAAATCAATTTTGTTCGATTTTTCTTCTGTATACAATTCTCCAATAATTTTTTAATAAAATACTTGATTTTATTTTTTAAATTTTAATTAAAGTAAGTGCTGAAAATGGTGGCCTTTGACTTCAATGCATTTATTAATTCGCATTTCGTTTTAATATTCTACTAACACTGCGCTGGGATATTCCCAAATCTCTAGATAATTCTCGTGTGCTTGCATGAGGATTAGCGGCCGTTGCTGCTAATACATTAATTTCATTATTTCCACCTGTGACTGTTGCTCGACGAACTCTTTTTTTCGGTTGAACACTCCCGTTTGTAGTAAACTGCTTGACTGTACGGTGAAATGAAGTACGTGATCCAATTTTATCCGGAAAACGCTGAGCGTAGATATTAACAGCATCATCAAGATTCCTGCCTGCTTCTCCATAAATCAAAATCATTTCTATTTTTTCTTTCACTGTTAAAAAATCCATTATGAATAACTGCTTAACGAAAGGTGGTCTTTTTGTTTGCAAATTAATTTTTGAACTAAATTAATTAAATACTGTTAAACTATAAATGGTTTCTTAATACCTCAATAATAATTATTATTTATAACTTAATACCATTTTTTATATCTCAATTAGGATTAAATTAATTAATTGACAGTGTAGTGTCCAGTTTAGTGGACTGTAAAAAAATTCAGGTGGATATTAAGAATTTAGAATCTTGGTGCAGTGATAATTGTATATCTTTAAATATTAGCAAATGCAAAGTAATAATTTTTTTTAGGATAAAAAATAAAA